AACGCCAGCACCACACCATGGCGCTGGTGCCTTCAATTGATCCAAAGGCGTTAGACGAAACACTAATGCAGCTGACTGCATGTAAGAGCAGCAGTTACACTGGTAACAAGTGGATAATTGACTATTTCTTTGAAGTTGCATTCATGCAAAAATACCAAACCCTGAATTTCTAAGAACTTGTTGAGGTGTGACTGAACATGAAATGAAAAAGTCGGCTTGTAGTAACTGCATTTTCCTGTTCCCTAACATCTCCTCGAGTTCTCTGTGCAGTGCATTTTCTCCTAAAAACTTCCATATATATGTGAAAAATGGATAGAGGACTGATTTTGTTGTTTTGATAGCTGTAAAAATGGAAGTGTAAATAGGGTAACAGAAATCGGATGCTATCTATAATGAAAACGCGTGCTCTGACAGAGCGCTCGGGCTGAGCAAGAACTAACTGGACATATTCTTTAAGATGCAATCTCAAAGAAGGAGAGATGACAAGGCTTTACACACGGTACTAATGGCAAATTAAATCCCCCCGTTAGGAAGGATATTTGGCAGGACAAAGTGCCGTCTTCTCCACTTTGAGGGGTAAAAATGCATCCCCTGTTGGAGGAATGAATTGTGATGTGGAGAGGCATGCTTTTGGTGACATCAAATGACACCGGAAGGTCAGCGGCACTTGTATCTGTTAAATGGAATGGATTAAGTGGAGGCTGGCTCCCTAGTCTGCTGCTTCCTTTCATAATGCTGCTTTTCTTTCTGGGTGGTGCCAAGAATTGGAGGTTCTGTTAGACTTCAGCGTTTTGCGGAGCGGTGACAGGTGCAGGAAAATGTCTCACGGCGTTCAGAGGAATTGAAAAGACATTTAGTTTACACAATCCCGTTCCTTTTGTCACACGTTTTATTTATTTTTTTATTGTTGGTAGGATTTAGGTACTACTTGCAACACACCTGTTTTAGCTATTTTCCAGGAGATGCTGTGGTAGAAGACATCAAACTTGTGTTTGTTCTCTGCAATGGCTTCCAGGAAAGCGACATCAGTTGAATGTGGAATTTGCTCTCATGGCAGGAATTAGACGTATTCACAAAAATAAAAATCTCCAGGACTGAAGGACCGGTGTTCTGACAGACATCAGAGCAGCACACATGCAGTTAATGCGCATTCAGGTAAACCTCCGCTACGGTCAGACGTGTCGTCAGTTCAGCATACAGACGGCAAAGTAGGAAAACGTTTGTCGATTGTGTTCATAAAGTTTTACCAGCCACAAAAATGAACTGATGAATGTATCACAATTTTTTTATTTTACCATCTTCTAATACTAAAGAAAATTTTGAAAAAATAAAGCTTCAAAATGTACCATATTGACAAGTCAGGGTGTCATACGGTCGTTAAAAGTACATGATGATCTGACAGGGTACTAAAACAAAGCTAATGATGATCAGACTGGTAAAATGGCCCATCAGGGTGTCATCCAGTTGCTAAAATCATCGTGTATGGTGATCTGACTGGTAAACTAAACCATCAGGGTGTCATACAGTTGCTAAAATCATCATGTATGGTGATCTGACTGGTAAACTGAACCATCAGGGTGTCATACAGTTGCTAAAAACATCGTGTATGGTGATCTGACAGGTAAACCGAACCATCAGGGTGTCATACAGTTGCTAAAAACATCATGTATGGTGATCTGACTGGTAAACTGAACCATCAGGGTGTCATACAGTTGCTAAAAACATCGTGTATGGTGATCTGACAGGTAAACCGAACCATCAGGGTGTCATACAGTTGCTAAAAACATCGTGTATGGTGATCTGACAGGTAAACTAAACCATCAGGGTGTCATCCAGTTGCTAAAATCATCGTGTATGGTGATCTGACTGGTAAACTAAACCATCAGGGTGTCATACAGTTGCTAAAATCATCGTGTATGGTGATCTGACAGGTAAACTAAACCATCAGGGTGTCATACAGTTGCTAAAATCATCGTGTATGGTGATCTGACTGGTAAACTAAACCATCAGGGTGTCATACAGTTGCTAAAATCATCGTGTATGGTGATCTGACAGGTAAACTGAACCATCAGGGTGTCATACAGTTGCTAAAAACATCGTGTATGGTGATCTGACTGGTAAACTAAACCATCAGGGTGTCATCCAGTTGCTAAAATCATCGTGTATGGTGATCTGACAGGTAAACTGAACCATCAGGGTGTCATACAGTTGCTAAAAACATCGAGTATGGTGATCTGATTGGTAAAACCGCCCATCAGGCTATCTTACAATTGTTCTAAACAAAGTGCATGATAATCTGATGGGTGAAATATGCCGTCAGATACATTATATAAGCTGTATGACATTTTGATGGGCCAGTTTACCCATAAGATCGTCATACACTTAGTGTAGAAAACCCCTATGATACCCTGATGGGTGGTTTTACCTGCCAGATTATCATACACTTCGTTTTAGCAACTGTATGATGCTGTACTTCCAGATAGGCAATCTGACAATGTATGGTGACAGAACCCCGGCGCATATACGTGTAGAATAAATGTTGGACTAACGGCAAACATGGAAGCTGAGGCATAATAGGCCCAAACTGCGGCGGCACTTTAATGATTCTATGTGGAGTTTTAAACAGCAGCATCCAGCTTCTCCAGGATAGGTCAAGCTTTGTCCTTTTCAAAAGTGATGTAAAACACACAAATATGCTTAAGGAGCGTGTGGCGGGTGGCGGTCTCAACCAATTAGGAGTAGTTCTCGGTAGGTGGAGGAACGACCTTTTTGTATGATTAGTTCTCTTATTTAAAGCAAAGATTTTGAGTAGAATAACTAATTAGGTGTCATAAAAGGCAAATTAAAGATTTTTGTGACCCTTGAGGGAATTAAGGCAACCCATTTTTCCCCCCTCTTTGCCCAACACAAGCACAGAATCACACGTGTCCACGTACACACACACAAGCGCGTGCCTCATTAAGACGTTTCTAGTTCTGTAGAAGCCTGTCAGGCGAGCGCTGCTGGCATACCTGCAGAGAGCTCCCCTAACAAACCATGAAATACAGGTATGGGAGTACGCCCTTAGCCAGTGTGGCTTGAATTTGAAGCTTTTTAGCTTCATTTACACTGAACATTGGTATTTATAGCAGGTTTTGTGATCCTAATGCGGCAGCTTCAAGGGGTCGGTTTTGGGGAGGCAGGGAGGGAGGGAGGGATGTGAGGGAGCTGGAGGGCAGGCAGAACACTAATTGATGGCTCCCATCACTAGCACTGGACCAATTAGCCTCTCCTTTCTGCTTCTGATAAAGAAATAAGACGGCTCAACATCACTGGAGCACTCACCGACATACAAATTAGAGCCACAAATTCGACTAACAAGCTCTCCGATATCTTTCAACTCTTATTTAAAAAAAAAAAAAGAAAATGCTAGTTAAATCTCATTCATAACTGTATTGATGTTTAGATGGACGAGGGCAAATCTGGACACAAAAGATCATTTTAGGTGGACGTAGACATGCCACGCAGTTTAGAGGAAAGATTTTCTATTGCAAACAAGTTCTTCTGGGTGCGTTATATTTTTTTTTTTTGTTTTTTTTTTGTGTGCAGGAGAGCAAACTCAATAAACTTAGCTGAGAAAAACAGCTCAGAGTGAATCAGTCTCTTCTTACCCGCTGAGGTTGTTTTTTTATCACTCAGGGAAGCAAAGCCAAGAACGCAGATCTAACTACACAATGCGCCGTCGCAGCTCTGCACACTTCCCTGCCAAAGAAATGGAAATACAAACTTTTTATTCAGCTTCACAGCATAATAAATCAGAAAGATTTGATGTAAAACTTTGTATAACGTGTAAAATGGGCCTTTAGAGCTACTCACACTTTCTAAATGCTGCCCTAACCCCCATGCGTCGATTATGTCCAGCCCATTTTTTCCTTTTTTTTTCCTTTTTATTTTTTTTAGAGGAGAGAGACAAATGTGTTTTGAAAGTAGAGTTGCAAGTGGCGTCCACTGTGTGTTCTTTAGACGGATCAATAGCTCAGTGTGTGAGAGAGTGTCTTAAGAGCTGTTGTCTTGTGCTTTCAGCTGTGGCAGACCTGTTAGTGCTACGGAGGGGAGCTACGCACCCCTGCCTCCGTACCAGCAGTGGCCTGAGGGGGGCTTTTAGTCCAAACACAAATGTCAACCACACATAGACTATTAGTGTTTAGTGCAGTTATTAAATGGACTTTATTTGTCCTTTAGGAGGCTAAAAGGCGCACTTAAAGGGGACCTGCGTGACAGCAGGGCAATTTGCGAGTTTGGTAACTTAGGCTCGCTCATTGCAGACACATGAGTACAGATAAGCGTAAAAGGAGGAAAGGCTGTAATGTTGGGAGAGTTGAGAGCATTGTGTGTGTACGAGTGTGTGAGGCTTGTATATACTTGTGTATGCGTGTGTCCCTCTATGAAAACACACACACACACACAGAGCGAGTGTATGCTAAAAGGCACTTAGGCCATAACATATCTCACTGGGGTCTGGTAGCAGCGTTTTTGTGGTCAGAGGCTTTTTAAAAGGTTAATGTTAATCTATACCAAACAAAGCCCATGAGGAGCTTTTACAGCTGTGGGCCGTTGAGTGAAATGGGTTTTGATGAAATGGTAGGCAAGTAACATGCTACACAGCTTATTGTAAATACCGCAGTAAGTTAGAAACACATTGTGTGTGTGCGTGTGCATGTGTGTGTGTGTTCTGAGAAATCCACGCTGCCACTGATCATGTAACTTTTGTAATGCAGCATGTTCTTTGTTGAACAAGTGAGTCGAGGCGTCACAGTCCAATGTGACCTGGGCGCCTATCTACATGGAAGAGTGTTTTCTTTAATGCATATGAAGCAGGTAGGCAGCGCGCCGTGGCCGCATGCGAGGCCAGGCTTAGACGCCTTGAGAAGCAGCCAGCTTATCAAAAAGAGAACATGAAAAGTCACTCGTGTTCCCGGGCCGTAAATCACGCGTGGCTGTTTGTGTCCTTATCGCTACAGGTGTGCCGATGCTCTCTGTCCAGCCCAAGGGGAAACAGAAGGGGTGCGCTGGCTGCAATCGCAAGATTAAAGACCGCTACCTGCTCAAGGCCCTGGACAAATACTGGCATGAGGACTGTCTGAAATGTGCCTGCTGCGACTGCCGCCTGGGGGAGGTGGGCTCCACCCTGTACACGAAAGCCAACCTCATCCTCTGTCGCAGGGACTACCTGAGGCAAGAAATACACACAATCACTATTCTCCACTCACAACAAGCACAAAGGCCGCGCCATTACAAGAGCGGCGTGACCTGAAACCTGCTTTTTAATCAGTTGTTTGGCTTTTTTTTTTAAAGGAAATGTCCTCCAGCGAACAGAAACCATACGAGTTCTCAGTGCTGTAACAACAAGCAAATCACGGTTTATTTATGGGTTTGCTACATTTCACTCAAATGAAGGAGGTTGTGAGAGCAAATCTGAGGAGTTTTGGGAACTCCAATTCAAAATTTGATATTTTCATAAAGAAATCTTTTTAATGGGTTTTTTATAGCAGTGATAGGCACACAGGGGTTTGCTGGGAGTGTCGCTGCAAACGTAATTCTGTAAAAATTAAGAATTTTTAAACGTGACTGATGAAACTAACGTGTCTTTTTAGAGTTTTATGAAAAGAAGAGAACAAAATTCCTTAATATTGTTTAAAGATTACTTTTTTTGTTTGCTGAATAACTGACTTGATCTAATATTGTTATAGGTTAAAATAAATAGAAAAAACTGTTTCAGTTTAACAGCAGTTTTTCAAAATAAAGGTTTTCCACGGGGCCGCTGAGCTCAGCACATCAGACCCCCCCCCCCCCCCCCCCCCCCCCCCCACACACACACACACACACACACACCAGCCATCTGCTCGTTACATTAAACATGAACATTTCCTGGGCGTTAGGTCACATTCCCCACCATTTATCTGAGGGGGAATCCCCCAGGGTCTGAGCTAGGGATACCAGTGCCCTGTCCCCCCTTCTGTCCTCCCCTCCTTATTCAAAACTTCTTTTCCAGCAATGCCCGCCCTCCTTCAGCTATCACACTGTTACCTCTGACCTCCTGCCTAGTTAGGTTTTGATTTACTTCCAGTTATGAATTGAAATACCAGCTCAGTGTCCTAGTGGTAGAATGTCCACCCTGGGATTGGGAGATCGGGGTTCGATTCCCGGTCTGGTCATACCAAAGACTTTTAAAATAGGACCCAATGCCTCCCTGCTTGACACTCAGCTTTAAGGGGTTGGATTGGGGGGGTTAAACCACCAAATAGTTCCCGAGTGCAGCCACTGCTGCAGCTCACCGATCCCTTCCATGGGGATGGGTCAAATGCAGGGATGAATTTCACCAGTGTGTGATGATGACTATGGGACTTAATTCAGTTACTGATAAAAGACAATTGAATAAGAGGGAAATACTATAATATATTCTAACATTAAAAAGCTGGCCTCATGAAGTGGACATCTAAGCCATGAAGAAAAAAGTAAACAGTAAAGACGATAATTTAAATAGGATCCCGTTCGTTTCAGCATTAGCATGACGTTAACAGATTTTTTTGCTTTGATCATTAAACAGTCGACTGAGTCACTCTGAACCATCTTGGATGAGTCAGATCTGCTGTTTTATGTGGTGTAAAACCAAATCTTTTAGAGAGCAAAGCTTTTTTGAACTAAAGGGCTTTTATCCAATTATATTCAGAAGGTATTTAAATCTGAGAGGCTCCAGGAAGACTTTAGTGAACAGTAACATCTCAGTCCAGTATCATTAATAGTTTGGGTAACACTTTACACTAAGGGCCCCTTCATTAACGCTACATAGTGCATTATTAAGCATTAATAAACTATGAAAGCGTTAATAACTGCTAAACTACATTATGTAATGCATTTCGCCTCTGTCAGTGCGCCCCAGGGCAGCTGTGGCTACATAGTAGCTCATCACCATCAGTGTGTGAATTTGTGTGTGAATGGATGAATGATACACTGTAGTGTAAAGCGCTTTGGAGTCCTTACTCTGAGAGGCGCTATACAAGTGTGGGTCATTTATCATTTATTGTAAGCAGACACCCCCCTCTGCCCCTTTGTCCCAACCTGAAGGACACTCAGTAGTTAATGATGGTAACTAGTGAGGCACTGATGTGAATTTTTTGGTTCGATACCATTATCCGATGTTAATATCACTGTTATGGCCCATAACAGATATTTGCCGATAGTGATATGGTGGCATTAATGCTTCTAAAATCAGCAGATATGATACAGAATGAAAATTATTAAAACTGAATTTAGGTTACTAAGTACGCATATCACACACATTTACGCTTCTGAGATGATTGCAATCACGGTCACATCACTAAATAAATACACATCACCCCCCAGTCACCCGCTGACACAGATAAATGGAAACAAGATGGAAAAACCATCTGTTGTTAATATCGCCCCAGTTTTATTTATTAGACCATTAGCAATGTGTTAAAAAATTACTTACATTGGCCGATACCGATATAGATGCCGATATATCGTGCATCCCTAATGGTAACATTATGAAAGGGACCCTTTGTTTATTAATGCTTAATAATGCACTAAGTAACATTAATAAAGGGACCCTTAAAGTGTTACACTAGTTAGTTATAGCTGCCAACTACTTAATTTATCTGCTTAAATTGGTCGCTTTCAGCCATGACACTCATGGGGCGGAATCTGCGGTTGGCTTTCAAACTGTTCTTGCGCGTTATTGGACAACGAACATTGTAACATTCACAGCATGTCAGTCAACGGGGCAGCCCGCCATACACCTCTGAAGAAGATGCAAATACATCCTTTTTCTTAATAAAAGGACTTAAGTACATCTATCTGCTCTTGACTCAAAAGTCTAAAAGGCCTTTTTCAGCGGCACAGCATGACTCAGGTTCGTGCAGTTTCAGGTCGCTAGGGCTTAACGGTTTTAGGAACATTTTTTACTTTTCTATAGGAGAAATTGCTACTTTAATTCAATTCACAGTTTTCTTCAAGGTCCAAAATATTATTCACTATATAGTCATAAATCATACCATGAAAACAATAAAAGCTAATACCGTAAATCCTCTAATACAGGCCCGGGCCTGTATTTTACTCAAGCTCATCAAGCTCCAGGCCTTTATTGGAAGGAGGACCAGAATTAGAGGCAGGCCTCAATTTCTATTTGAGCAAAATGAACTAATGGTTCTCTGGAGTTTTTGACAATTAAAATTGAGCCCTCATTTTCAAAGTTAAACACATTTCTTTTAACAACGGTAGTTTCTGCTTCAGCCCCCCCCCCCCCCCCCCCCCCCCCCTCCCCCTGCGCAGCGGCCGCAAACTCACTGATGCGCCTGCAGCCTCTCGGAGTTCCTGCTGCTCTAAACATTAAAATAACTATTTAATTTTCCGTTCCTCACTTCTGATTACCTTCAATGGTGTCTGTTTGTTGCAACCACCAGGTACAAAAACTAACTTGTTTTTATTTGACTATTTTCTGTCCTGCCTGTTTATTATATTCCTGCATCTCCTCTCAATCCTAAAGAAAAACTGCTACCTGGGTTCATATATATTCACCTCATGAGTTACCTTTGAACTGCAGTTCTAAAAGATCTACCGACCGCAAAAACAGCGGAGTGCGCGCTGCTTGCCGGCCACATCAGTTAGGTGCGTAACCGAGGACAAAACAAGTGATGCGCCCCGATCCACAGCAGCGAAACGCATCAGGCACAAATAAAAGAATAAAAGACAGAAAACATAAAAGGAAGTGAGCCGACATGAACGATCGCGTGTTAAATTAGTTTCTGAGGTGGCGACACCTGATTTGATAATGTTACTGTGGCCGTGCTCAGGACGCAGATGTCTGGAGCGCGTCAACAATCAGAGCTTTGCATACGCAAGCTGGTTAAGGTTAGGATGGGGTGAGGGGAATGTTAAATTGCAAGAGGGTAAACGTCACAATTTGGTTAAATGTCCATTTTACGGCGGGTGTCAGTACCGACGCTCTGGCACAGCGCGTTGCCTCCCAACGCGCAGGAGCTTGTCACCTGCTGACAGCAGGCTGCTGTCTCTTCAGAGGACTGCATCTTGCCGGTCATTATCACGTGACAGCGACTAGTCGATGACAGGCATAAAAAGTCACTATAGAGTGGTGAAGTCGACTAGTGACACGTTCATACAACCCCTACTGCTCCCCAGAGTGTTCTGCAGCATAATCAGCACGTTCTCTTTGAACTTGATAACAAATTTTCGCCTCCTCTTTGTCTCCGCACGGTTAAAGTTACCCTCGCGGTCCATCACTGGCAAATCAAAAGTGAGACGGATGACACAACCACCCCCCGTACTTGCTTGTTACCACATTCCACCCAGCCACAATAAAATACCGGCCATTATTCACCGACACCGGCCAAAATATGATACCCGGCAGTTAATTGAATACAGGCTAATATTAGAGGATTTACGGTATATATTTTTTCTTTTCTCCCAGTATTATCTTTCTGAATCTTTTCTAACGTGTTTGTGAGGCACCTTGTGATTTTTAATTAGAGAGGCACTATTTAAAAACTTTTCTTGTTTGACATCACGACTGTTGGCCACTGATTGGCTAGGGGGGTGGAGTCAATGGTTGCTCCAGAACTTTCTGGCTGCTGCATGCAGCCGTTTCAGGTTTCAGAGTCTGACAAAAACCCAGAAAACTGAGCAGAATGTTCATCACCACCATTTTTGTGCCGAGTTGTATTTCCATGTAGCACACCAATAACCTCACACTGTTTACTGATCATCTCATGCCATTTTGGTCTTGAGTGAAGATCGTGCCTGCCCCCACCCCTACTGTGAGCGACACCCTCAACCACCGCATGCTATGAGGGCCACTCCCACTTTTTGTCATTGAGTTAGCAGGGAAAACCAACTTGTCTGAGATGAACTGTGTGAACCCACGCTGTACTGAGCCGTTTTGGGCTGAGTAGTGCCATTGGAAAAAACTGCATCAGTAGTCCATAGCAGAGGCGGACTGGCAACATGCGAGTACTGGAGAATCCCAGAACGGCTGGTGTGATCTAGGGCCGGTGGTTGTGCTTCAGGCCAGTATCGGTGCTTCCCCCGTTGGAAGATCCCTGTCGGAGGATCGAGCAGACTGCAGCAACAATCGGTCTCCTCAGATGCTGCCATCTTTGTAGCATCACGCCACCCACCAAACCAATAAAGCACTGTGA